GTTGGCCATCACAGTGTTGTACCTGGTTCATGTGCTACCATTGTGGTCTAAGGTCAGGACTTCAAGTTTGATATCCACCTGCTAACATTACCCTCAATAGCATCTTAATCAAGACGGAAGGTTTAGCATTTTAAGTGAAGTTACTCAATAAGGAGTTTAAAATACACTTACACCATTACGTACACAACCCTATAATGATCTTCTTTTCAACTTTCTTTTTTCCAAATCTGAATTTGGAATAAATAGCATTGTGTGTGTTTGTGTGTGTGTGTGAGTGTAATTTTAGGATTGTGATACAGGTTTTGTTAATCTCTTTAGTTTTCAAAGAGAAGTAAGTTTTTGATACCTGTACAATCCAGCATCCTTATAAAGCTAAATGTAGTATTAGGGTGGAGGATGCTAGTTCCAATGATGGAAGATAAGATTTGGATTAAATCTGAGATGGAGCTACCTTCTGAAATGATCTTTAGACTTGCTTACATTGTATCTCAAGATGCTTTATTTCATTGATAAGAGTTCATATCTGAAAACACCTTTTAAAAAGAATAATTTGACTATGTCCTGGTGTAGGAATATAAGTATAAAGGATTAAGTGATAACTCTTAATCAGTATAATTTAAACAAATTTTTGCATGATATTTTTCTTTGTCTAGGAATGCTTTTTTCTTTTTATTTCTCTTACATTAGTATTATAATAGGTGGGCACAGGGAAATCAATTATCTAGAATGCCAATAAATAATTTTTCAGTCACTTAAATTGTGTCAATAAAAATTAGCTTTCATTCTGTAAACAAATGACCAATTTTCAAGTAACTATAGGGTACAATGAGAATATTTACTAATGATTATATTTTCATCATCGTTTAACCTTTGTTGTGGGTTTTTTTTTCTGAAACCCTTTGTAGAGTTTAGTATTTTGAGGACATCGAGCCAGAGAAGCAAGTACTGAGGGGTGCTCAACCTTAACGGGGGGATGGATTACAGACACTTATTCTGGAAATATCTTGATTTCCAGGGTATGATCAGGACCTAGAAAGGTCTTTTTTTTTCTTACTAGAAGTCTAATCTGGTGGTGCCAGAGGGATCTGACCTCATAGAGAGATGTTCACCCTGAGAATCCTGGATGGTGGGATGATCCAAGATCAAATTGAAGTTGTTTACTTCCAGTACCAAAAAGATTACTGCCTATGTTTTCTTCTGGGAGTATTATGGTTTCAGATATCCCATTTAGGTCCTTAATCCATTTTGAGTTTATTCTGGCATATGGTGTAAGAAAGTGATCCAGTTACAGTACTTTTCATGGAGCTGTCCAGCTTTCCCAGCACCATTTATTAAAGAGGCTGTCTTTTCCCCATTGTGTATTCTTGCCTCCTTTGTCATTGAGAAATTGACCATAAACATGGGTTTATTTCTGGGCTATTATTTTGTTCCATTGAAGTGTCTATTTATTTTTGTGTCAGTACCATACCATTTTGATTATTACAGCTTTGTAGTATATCTTGAAATACGGGAATATGATACCTCCAGCTTTGTTCTTTTTTTTCTCAGGATTGCATTGGCTATTTGGAGTCTTCTGTGGTTCCATGTAAATTTTAGTATTATTTTTTTTAGTTCTGTGAAAAATGCTCTTAGGGATTGTGTTGGATCTGTAGATTGCTTGCCTTCTGTCATGACTAGATAAGAGCTGCTGTGGGTCAAGAAGGTGTAATTTAACATATCAACCATCCTCTCAGCCTATGCTGAGATATCTGTTCCATGAAGGAAGAAATGGATTGGAGGAGGGCTAGGGCTTTTGAAAGCTTTACCTGATGAAGAACATAAATATTTATACCATTTATCCCCTGTGTAGATAAAATATCTATTAAATGAAATCTACCATTGTTTGTCTCTTTCTTTAGGCTTATAAGCTAATCAGTCATTCCTTAGTCATGAACTGTGCATTTAGACAAAAGAGGAGTTTTAAGGACCCTTTCTTTCTTCCCTTGTCAATTAACACAAGAGTGCAGATGTATGAAAGTGGGAAAATAAAATCCTAATATCTCCTGAGCATCTACCATGTGCCGAGCGCTAAGCTTTGTGTTTTATATCATTTTATTTAATCTTCATAATGAAATTGGTACAATTATACTCATCTTCTAGTTGATCAGACCTATGATGTAAAAAGTGAGGTAACCGGTCCAAACTTTCAACCCTGTCCTCTGTGCTCTGACTGCTCTGTCCTTTCAGATTTACATTTCCTTCTTAGTAGCACATTCTCATTAATAGAATAGGTACTTTAATTTGTACTCTTTAGAACACTTAGCAGAATTAAAAGATATAGCATATTAAGAGACACTTTTCCCTCAAACAATGATTATTAATTTAATGAGAGCATGACATTATCCTTGTGATAGAGCCATTAGCTGTGGACGCTAAGAAAAACAAGTCTGTGATGATGCCAAGGAAAAGATGCATACAGACATACGTACATACATACATATAATCTATGACATTTCACTGTCTCCAGGCTCAGTGACTTGAAAACAATTTAGTGTGACTTCCAAAAATATTAGACAGTAGTCATTTACCCTGGAAATAAAATAATAACTTTGCAACAGTGGCTTTGCATGAAGCTATTTGGAAGATGGAGAATCATTTTCCACACATGAGACATTTTGCTCATTAATGGGGAACACTTGATTCATTGCATATCATAGAGCTTTTGGCATTTGGTGTTAGACAAATAAACTTAGGCTCTGTTTGACAGAAGGAGAGTAACGTGTAGATATGCTACTTATGATCAAGTGTGACTGGTGCCATAAGCAACAATAATTTGTCAACCTCAGTAAGAATTAAGAACCCTGGACTATTAATTCTGAGACATGACAAGACTTGTATTACATGTTGCTTAGAAATACAGTTGATCACATTGATGGGAAAATATGATTCAAACATCAACTGCTCCTTTGCAGTTTTCATTTTGATGCTCTATAAACAGTGTTTCTTCTTTGGAATTTTCCATCCTGCTTTTGGAAGGCCTGGTGTACATCTTCCTAGCTATATATATCACCACATATTTATTAATTCAACAAATATGTATTGGCCTCCTGCTGTGGATCTGGCTTTATGCTGGTGCTGGAATCACTAGCACTTGTTCTCACAGTTTGACGTTCTCATTGTAACAGTTCAGAACAGATCTTTGGATTGCCACAGACTTTTTTTTTTTCCTTTCTAAAACTGGCAATCAGGGATCCTGGGTGGCTTTCTTGTGTGGTTAAGCATTTGACTTTAGCTCAGGTCATGATCTCATGGTTTGTGAGTTCAAGCCCCTCATCAGGCTCACGCTGACTGCCTGGGGCCTGGAGCCTGCTTCAGATTCTGTGTTTCTCTGTCTCTCTGCCCCTCCCCTGCTCATGCTCTGTCTCTCTCTTACTAAAATAAATAAACATTAAAAAAATGGCAGTCACTTTCTTTCTGTGATGTGATTGAACATATGCTCAAGAAAGTTTTATCACTAGATGATCTGAATTGAATTGCCCACAATGAGTTGGTGTGAATGTTAATATTTAACAATTTTCCCAATATCAAGACATTTGTATTAAAAGAAATCACATATTTTATGCTTAACGATACAATTTTTTAATTTGGGGACTTTCTTCTTGGCTTTCCTAAAATGTGCAAATCAACTTAAATACACCACTCCTTCAAAATCTATAAAAATACATCTCCATAAAAAAATATCCCACTCAACCCACTTTCTCTCTCCCACCTACAAATTTGTAGCCAATGTTGGGTCAAGATAGGTCATGAGTGGTGTTTCTATTTCTCTTGTAGGTACTCTTGTGTTCTGAAGTCTGCTTTACCTACATCAGTTCTTCTAATTCTGGCATTCTATTCAAGTATAGTTCAAGGCCACTCACATACAATCTAAGCATGAGGTTAAAATTTGATTGCCTATTATGTGTCACTAAAAACTGGAAGGTGTGTAGCCTTCATTACTTTGGCAAAACATGGATTTAACACTACTAGTTCAGCACAACTTTATGATACTGCTACTTCATATCATTTGGTTCATTGATTAAGTAGAAAACACTTTGACTTGTTTAACTACATACGTATGAGAAGGATAGTAACTAATCTCTGATTTTAAATATTTCAGGATATGAAAGTATGTCCTCTGTCTTTTTAATTTATAAAGTATAGACTCCACATTCGTTGAACTAAATGCAAAACATAATTCTTACTTGTCATTCCTTTTATTTATTTTCAAGCCCTGAAGACAGCTTTCCATAATTTTAGGTAATAAGTTTATACTGCTAAAAGTAGATAAAATGGTCCTTTATTAATTTTCTACATCTAAGTGCAAGTCTGATTATAGATTATCCAAAGAAGCTCTAGATTTGCATAGAACAGGGGACATCTGTTAATGAAACCAGCGAGTTTCTCGGTTTATAGGTGTAGTAATCCAACTCTGACCTCTCCACAACCACTTATGAGTAAAATATATTGCAAAGGGCTAATCAAACTTGGGTTCAAATTCTTGCTTTTCATTATCAGTGGCTGTCTGATTCAAGCCACTGAATCTATATGATCATTAATTTCCTCATCCACTCAATGGGAATGGTAATTCCTATAAAATCTCTGCATACAAGAAATGTCTGTATTCTGATAGTGTGTCCAGTACTTTATCTATAGAGTGGAACAAAGCCTCTGCCTGTCTTGAGTAATCTTGAGTGACTGACAAGCAAATTTTGACCTGAGAAAGAAATTTGGAATAGAGAATAAAGGATAATTCTTTACCCCTTTGTATCAAGGAGTTCCTATTTCTTGTCTTCTATTCTGAGCAGAAGAGAGATAACCAACACCAATATTATGAAATATTAGGGTAGAATACTTTAGAATCTGGGGATGTCAGGGTAAAATGTGGATTGAAGGCACTGGTGTCTTAAAGACGTTAAGAAACTCACGGCTATGATGTAATCTCACACCTCACCCCCTATCATCTTCTTTTCTTCCAGGTGTTCAACAAAGAAAGACATCCATGAACTTTTCTCATTGCCTGCATGGAGTCAGAGATCACTGGTGGCCTTGATCATACAAGCTTGATGCTACCTTTTAAAAACATAATTGGTAAGCCACTTTTTTTGCACTCCTATATTTACAGAGCCATCATTTTTGTTTTGTATAAACTTGCTAATAAGTAGAATGTTTTGTTAGAAATTTAATTCATTTGTTGTATTTATTGAGTCTAACCCTGTGTTTGCTGCACTGGCATATATCTTACAATATAAGAACTCTCAGTTCACTCCATAGTTGAATATCTTTGTGGTCTGAGTCATGCTGAGAAAGGGAGGGGCATGGTCTATATCATGGTGTAATTCTGATTCCCTTAACAGAGAGAAGCATGGAAAGCTTCATGGAAATGAACGCATGGCATACCACTCTATTATCAAAACATTTCTCGGACGACTAGTGACATTTGTTTGAGAAAGGTAACCAATACCTCAGCAATTCCATCTACTCAGTTTTAGCAAAACTGTTCTTTGGTTCCAGGCCAACTTTTTGCCCAGATCAGAAGGGTGCTGAAGCAGGAAAGTGGGATTAAATGCCCAGGTTAAGACCAAAGAATGTTGGCATTAACAAAGTGTGAATTGGTGTGGATAAATTCCTGGCATTCATGCTCCATTCTAACTGTAACTGAATCACTCCTATCTGGAAATTTGACTTGTGAGCATAAAAACCGAGGAATCTGGCCAGAGCCACTTTTTGGCGTGGGTTTGTCAGAAACACCACAAGCACAGGCTTTTTCACAAGATGGAATTTCATTGTATGGACATCTGGCTGATTTGCTGAAAACATGCATTTGTGGGAAATATATGGGAACATTTCTTTTTGATAAATAAGGAAATACTTCGGTAGAGATTTAGTACTGGATTCCGACTTTGTGTATGTTATTTTCTTTCAGCAATTACAATGTTTCGCTCTTTCTTTGCTTATGTTAAGGGAGAAAGAAGACTCCTGTTTATTGTACAATCACAGTTGTTTTTAGGTTTTAGCAAGCAGTTCTTAGAAAACAAACTAGGAAGCCACATACATTATTTCATTGTGTTTCCAACTGTGCGGAAAATTAGTATTTTGAAACCTCAGTGTATTATATATAAATAAATATACCTCATCCGTCTCACAGGTAACACTGATGTCTCTTTGGATAAATGACTGGATCGGGCAGGAAAGCAATAGACAAAAGACTTGCCTCTGAAAGATTGTTCTATTGTAAGCTTTTCTTTCTCTTTACTAAGGTACTGTTTTAACAAAATATTCCTAATTTAAATTCTGGAATACTCTCTTTTCTGAATTATGAAACTTCTCCAATCCATCTGTGTCTATAGGGAGCAGCGATCCTTCACTATTGTAAGTGATACGGGTTTAAATGTACTGGATTATAAATAGAAAGTGAATTTATGAAATAGAAACAAACCGCAGGTGTCTATTTTCAGGTAGGTTCTTCTAGTTTAATGAAAGCATGAGCTTATGTTGTTCAACATACTATTATGAATAAGGGCAAGCTTAAGCCAGCAGCTCTAAATATAATGTAGTCTGCCCTGTTCGATCTTGAGCCATGGGAGACTTGATGGAGGCTCATTGTTGCCTCTTTGTATACCCAAAGCAATTTCACAGAACCACTGGGCAACCCGTTTCCCAAACCTCCACTTCAGGAGGTCATAAATGGCTAAGCATTTGTGTAGAATAAAAGCTGTTTTATTTTTCTTCAAGTTGATAGGTAGGATACATTAGGGAAAGGCAGAATAATTTTCTCATAAAACCCACGCTTTTCTTTTCTTTTCTTTTCTTTTCTTTTCTTTTCTTTTCTTTTCTTTTCTTTTCTTTTCTTTTCTTTTCTTCCTTTCCTTTCCCTTCCTTTCCTTTCCTTTCCTTTCCTTTCCTTTCCTTTCGTTTCCTTTCCTTTCCTTTCCTTTCCTTTCCTTTCCTTTCCTTTCCTTTCCTTTCCCTCCTTTTCCCTCTCTCCCTTCCTCACTCCCTCCCTCTCTCTCTTCCTTCCTTCCGTCCTTCCTTCTTCTTTCCTCATACTCTCTTCAGTACCATAGTGATTGTACAGATACCTTAAGTAAGACTTGTTGTAACACCGGTGTTGATGTTCCATATTTTTCTTTTGTTACAAAAACCCTAGTTTAATTTTCAACATAATAGAAGTCATTGATTAGAGAGGTTTCTTAAGCATTTAGCTCTCCAAAAAACTTCTGTCATTGTTAGGGAGACAAAAATACAGAAGACTCATGGAGCAGCATTTCCCTAAGCTAATTAACCAACTGACAAGTGTGAATGTGTGCTAGATTAGCTAGCAGTCATGGTAACTGACCACACGTGGTACATACAGTGTATTGGTCATTTTTCCAGGGTCTTCAGATGGCTTAACTCATTTAAATCTACAGAACAGCTACTATTCCTCATCAATTCTCTGATGCATACTTTTTCATCTTTTAATAGTTCTCAAATCGAGATATGTCTTAAAATTGATGCCTCAATGAGCCAGAGGTGGAGATGGAATTTGTTATAACCTGCACATACGAGAACATGAAAATCACCAGCCTTTAAAACATGAGGAATGGATGTCATGAGCTAAGAAGTAAATCCCAGGGACAATAAAGGAGATGCTTTTTAGCTCGTAGGAGCCACATAGTGGGTGGGTGATAGTGGGAGACTGGCAAATTACACATGTTCAGCAGAATCCCTAAACCTGGCATCAGCAGTAGGCAGATTCTATAACTGCACCGTAGGCAAGCCCAGTGCTGATGGGTTTTAGTGGGTTTAGGTGTTTTTACTAAGAAATGCTGTACTGTAACACTTTCAGTGGTTCAAGAGACACTACAATGAAAAACTCAGATGTTAACAAATCTGATTCAAGAACTGATTTGGAAGTTTGAATCTGAATAGGAACAAGGTTTAAGGATATCTAAACCAATTTACGTTACATATATTTGATGTTTATATATGCATGAAAGTGTTTATGATTCAAAATACCTCTGTATAATTAATTCTAGAAGAGGTCATTCAATATGCTCACAAAACATGGGGCGCTTCAGTGGCTCAGTTGGTTCAGCATCAGACTTCGGCTCAGGTCAGATTTCATGGTCCATGAGTTTGAGCCCAACGTCAGCTCAGAGCCTGGAGGATAATACGGATTCTGTGACTCCCTCTCTTTCTCTGCCCCTCTGTTGCTCACAGTCTTTCTCTCTCTGTCTCTAAAAAAAAGCTTAAAGAAGTTCATATGCTCACAAAACAAATTCAGAGCATTAAGAGAGCTTTTTGTCATATTTTAGTTCGCTGTGACTTTTTTCTCAATGTTTCTCCCAGTGGCATTTAAAAAATTTTGTCTTACTATTGAGAGCTTTCTTGATTTGATACCAGCAGTATTATTATCTGTGTTTTATATGGATGAGACAATTATGACACAATAAAGCAGCAGAACTAGTATTTCAATTCTGCCCCTGTCTATAGCATGATACCTTTTCTTTGTGAAATCATTGCAAAAAAAAGGAAAAGTTAAAGCATTTTTAAATAGTTTCTAAGTTTTTTTTTTTTTTTTGAGAGAGAGTGAGTGAGAACAAGAACAAGAGGGAGAGAAGCAGAGAGAGAGGGAGAGAGAGAATCCCAAGCAAGTTCCACACTGTCAGTGCAGAACCCCATGTGGGGATCTAGCTCATGAACCATGAGATCATGACCTGAGCCACTATCAAGAGTCGGCCACTTAACCAGCTGAGCCATCCAACTGCTTTATTATACCATTTGCACTCATGTTGCTACAAGATATTTTCAGAACTCCAGTCTTCCCTATCTTGTATTCCTGCCTCAGACCATGACACTAGATGCTTCTGCCCTCCCAAAGAAGAGAGGCTAAGAAAGAATGTTTTATCCACCCTTCTGTGGTTCCTGCTTCTTCAAGCTCACTGAAGCAAGTTTAGTCATAGAATCCAAGTCAGGACAGGGATCGGAGGGAGCCCACTTTTGCTGCCAGACCAAACTGCACCCTCATCCAGAGCATGTACTACTAAAGCAGCATTGTATTTTAATTCCCCTCTGGCTCCTGTGCAAAAACATCACGAATGGTTGCACAGGTTATGTCTATTCTTAATTGCTTCTGCTCCTCTATCTAGTTTTAATCAGTTTGGAATCTACAGGGGAATGTGGATGAAGAATTAATTTCTTCCAATCTCTTGACATGCTTGCCTTTCTAAACCTATGTCAGAAAAAAAAAAAAAAGCTATTTCATTATATATTCACCAAAAAGAGCAAGTAAAATATCTATATATAAAGGAAAAATAAAACATCTTTCATTTATATCATTCTCATGAAATATGACTCATAGAAAATATGTTAAAATTAAAACCACACTTTGGGATCTTTATATCATATATATGTCAAACATTAGAAGTCACGGCATTTTCTTTGATCTTCAAAAGAAGACATAAAAACAGATTTTTTCTATGCAACAGTTTCGTCTCAGTGTGATATGAAGATGTAATTTCATTCAAATATGTGGTCCAAAGAAAAGCATAAAAGCTGAATGTTTTGTATCTATTAAGTATTTTGCATTAAGCTAATCTAAAACCCCACACTTTTCTTTTTTCTGGGATAGGTTTGCTCCAAACATTTAGAAACAGGTGCCTATAACTTGGTCATGTTTACTTTTGAGTATCGCCTTTCTATCTTTAGCAAATCATCAGAGATCATGCTGTTTTACTTTTTATTTAAAAAAGTCTTTATTATAGTCATTCGGCTATTGGGCAACAAGGTTTATAGAAATATTTACTATGCTATAAGCAATATTATGACTGTTACAGGTTGAAGTTAAAGGAAAGGGTAAATATGCATGGAAACATCAAACTGAGGCATTCATCAGTGCAATCGAAAGCTGGCAAATGGGGCCTGTGTATCCAGGGCCAACGGCCTTGTGGTTTCACAACAAGTGCTGTTTCACGTGTCTTTCCATTATTCTCAGGTGAGAAGAAAATGGTGTTTTCTCATTATGAATTATGTATCAGCCATTTATTAAGTTCCATTTATTAATAGCCGCTTAATAATGCATATTTTCCCTCCATTATTTAAAAAATAAATTCCAGGAGAAAATAATGCCAATGCGGTCTTAGTTTTTTTTTATTTTTTTTATTTTGTTTTATTATTTATTTTTTTATTTATTTTTATTTATTATTTTTATTATTTATTTATTTATAAATAAATTATTTATTTATTAATTATTTATTATTATTATTTATTTGTTTTATTCATGAAAATCATTTAATATACATTGATAAAAATAAATATTAAATGGAGATGATCATTTGGGAAGTACCACTACAGAAAAAAACTGCACCAGGAAGTAAATAGAAAACCTTCTATAAAGCAATCTATACATTTAATGAAACCTATAAAGTATTAAATACAATAGAATTATTAACAGTAAAGTTGAGGCCTTTGTTAAAGGGCCACAGAGACGTATATATCTGATGACAATTTTTTTTTAATGTTTTATTTATTTCTAGAAGAGAGAGAGAGAGACAGCGTGAGTAGGGGAGCTGTCAGAGAGAGAGGGAGTGACAGACTCTGAAACAGGCTCCAAAGCTCTGAGCTGGCAGTCAGCACAGAGCCCGACGCAGGGCTCGAATCCATGAACCGTGAGATCATGACCTAAGCGAAAGTCGGACACTTAACCGACTAAGCTATCCAAGAGCCCCTCTGATGACAATTAAAGGGGAAGGTTACTTGATAAATGTTCGTATTTATGGGAGGACAAATTTCTCAATTGCTATTTCTACAACTGCAACTCTAATATTACATAAATTTTATAATGAAACTGAAATGGTGCATAAGGAAAACTTGAGACTCTTCCCTCCTAAAAAAGTCCCACTATATTCATCAAACACAAAGGAAGCTTATCATGAAAGGATGTAAATTTAAATAATGCAAAACCTAGTGATTTGCTTTTTTTACTATAATTTATTGTCAAACTGGCAAAACCCAATGAGTTGTAAACAAAGATGATGTAATCAGGCCTGCTTTTGCTGATCAATCAAATATACAGTGCAGTCTAGAATGTAACCAGGATTGCATATTCCCCCTCTAATAGTCCTTCCTTTCATCCAGGAATGGGATGGAAGACTAGCCTTTTATTTTTTATTTTTATTTATTTATTTTTTTACAGATAGTTTAGTGTCAAATTAGTTTCCACATAACACTCAGTGCTCATCCCCACAAGTGCCCTCCTCCATGCCC